GTCAAGAAGATCCCTGGAGAAGGCAATGGCAGCCCACTCCAGTACTCTTGCCTGGAGAATCCCATGGACAGAGGAGCCTGGTAGGCTGCAGTCAACGGGGTCACAAAGAGTCAGACATGACTGAGCGAATAGCACTTTGACATCACCTGTGAAGCTTGCCCCAGACTAGGGAGGGGAAATATGGAGATTTAAAAAGCCTGTTCTCAGTCTCTTTACTAGCCTATCCAAGATGCCTAATTGAGTTCATTCAAATAAAAAAATAATATTTTTGAAAAGGAAACAAAAATAAAAGATGTAACCAAAGTAAAACTGGACTCTGCCTCTCTGTTTATAGTAATGACCATAAGCTGCATCTCCTCGAAGTTGTAAACTCCTAGAAAGTTAAAGTGAAGCCCCTCAGTCGTGTCCGACTCTTTGGGATCCCGTGGACTGCAGCCTCCCAGGGTCTTCTGTGCATGGGGTTTTCCAGGCAAGAGTACTGGAGTGGATTGCCATTTCCTTCTCCAGGGGAATCTTCCCGATTCAGGGATTGAACCTGGGTCTCCTGCATTGTGGGCGGAGGCTTTACCCTCTAAGCCACCAGGGAAGCCCCAGAAACTCCCAGAAGCAGGCTCTATTGAGAATGTGGAACCAACAATGAAGGCCCTTCGGTTATCATAATGGACTTGTTGACCCATCTGGAGGAAGTAGCCACAGCCATGGTGTGTGGGATCCAGCCCTTACCAGCTCATGTTGCTATGTTCCTACCCCCAGAGTCCCTCCAGGGACGATCTCTTGGGTCAATTCAGTTCAGTTCAGTTGCTCAATCGTGTCTGGCCCTTTGCAACCGATGGACTACAGCACGCCAGGCTTCCCTGTCCATCACCAGCTCCCGGAGCTTGCTCAAACTCATGTCCATCGAGTCAGTGATGCCATCCAACCATCTCATCTTCTGTCATCCCCTTCTCCTCCTGCCTTCAATTTGTCCCAGCACCAGGGTCTTTTCAAATGAGTCAGTTCTTTGCATCAGGTGGCCAAAGTATTGGAGTTTCAGCTTCAGCATCAGTCCTTCCAATGAATATTCTGGACTGATTTCCTTTAGGATGGACTGGTTGGATCTCCTTGCAGTCCAAGGGACTCTCAAGTGTCTTCTCCAACACCACAGTTCAAAAGCATCAATCCTTCGGTGCTCAGTTTTCTTTACAGTCCAACTCTCACATCCATACCTGACTACTGGAAAAACCATAGTTTTGACTAGATGGACATTTGTTGGCAGAGTAATGTCTCTGCTTTGTAATATACTGTCTAGGATGGGCATAGCTTTTCTTCCAAGGAGCAAGCGTCTTTTAATTTCATGGCTACAGTCACCATCTGCAGTGATTTTGGAGCCCAAGAAAATAAAATCTGTCACTGTTTCCATTGTTGGGTATCCCGTCACTTGGGTGCACTAATCCTGATGAAGATGAGAATGAAAGTGAAAGTGAAAGTCATTCAGTCGTGTCCAGCTCTTTGAGGCCGACCCCATGGACCATATAGTTCATGGAATTCTCCAGGCCAGAATACTGGAGTGGGTCGCCTATACCTTCTCCAGTGGCTCTTCCGACCCAGGAATCAAACCAGGGTCTCGTGCATTGCTAGTGGATTCTGGATCAGCTGAGCTATCAGGGAAGATGCGAATAACTGATAATAGTAAACATTTAGAAATCTCATCACAGTTTCAAAGTGTCTTCTCATCTACTTTAAAACCAAGTGTTCCTATACTGTCCTTGCTGTTTGTAGATACTGAGCCTTAGGGAGAGCAGAAACATTTTCTGAGGTCAAATGGCACATAAGTGGATAATTGCTGGAGTTATAATCTAATTCTTCTGACAACAAGGTCCCAGGTAATAATAGCTACAAGGTTTTATTCCTTCCAGAAGTACTTTTAGTTAAACTGGGAACTTTAACCAGGAAACTAGAAAGTCTTTCAAAACTGAAGGATAAACTTCCCAATGTTGGGATTGTAGATAATTTTAGGTTATATCTAGAGATGAGTGAGTGAAAGTTGCTCAGTCATGATTGACTCTTTGTGACTCCAGGGACTATACAGGCTGTGGAGTTCTCCAGGCCAGAATACTGGAGTGGGTAGCTGTGCCCTTGTCCAGGGGATCTTCCCAACCCAGGAATTGAACCCAGTCACCCACATTGCAGGCAGATTCTTTACCAGCTGAGCCACAAGATATCTAGAGGACTTTGCCCTAAATCATATGAGCAGCTACTTAACATGTGTTCTCCATGGTTGGCCCTGCTCAAAGGTTTTGACAGCCTGATTTACTTTGGAACTTATCTCATAACATGTTAAATTAGTGGTTTTGTTATTAATCATTAAGTAGAACATTCTAAGAGGGCCACAAATTTTTATTGGCCCTATCTCTTGATTTAACCAACTGAGGTCAATTTCTAATTAGTTCTCTTTAACAGATCAGCTTAATTGCTATCTGTAATTAAGTATAATTAATTATACTATCTGTATGATTTATTTCTGGAGGTATTGATTCATGAAATAGCTCTCCTTTTCCTCCTTATTCCGGTCTAAATCCAATGACTATCCTGAACTACTCTCCACGTGTATGTGTCTTTTGCATCCCTAAGGAAAGATACGGTAGGTATAGAGGGAGGGGGTATATGTATGTCTGATTCACACTGTCTTTCAGCAGAAACTAACACAACATCGTAAAGCAATTATTCTCCAATTAAAAAAATGCCATGATAAACCGTAATAAAGAAGAATGTTTGAAAAATAGTGTATATATATTTACAAGTGTTACAGAATCACTTTGCTGTACAATAGGAATTAATAACATTGTAAATCAACTATACTTCTATAAAAATAAACAAGAAAAATGAAATGGTATGTTTTTAATAAAACACAAAGGAGGGAAAGCAACTGAAGTGAATGTGGGGTTCTAGGGCTTTAAGACAGGACTCTGGATAGCAAGGAGATCAAACCAATCAATCCTCAAGGAAATCAACCCTGAATATTCATTGGAAGGACTGATGCTGAAGCTGAAGCTCCGATACTTTGGCCCCCTGATGTGAAGAGTCGACTCACTGGGAAAGACCCTGACTCAGGAAAAGACTGAGGGCAGGAGGAGAAGGAGGCAACAGAGGATGAGATTGTCAAATGACATCACTGACTCAATGGACATGAGTTTGAGCAAACTCCAGCGGAGAGTGAAGGACAGCCTGGTGAGCTGCAATTCCTGGGATCGCACAGTTGGACACGACTTAGCAACAGCTGCTTCCGAGGAGCTGTGTGATCTTGGACAAGACCATCTATGTCTGAGTTTCCAAATGTGGGCAAGATTTTTCGGATCTTTTACTTTAACATATATTCAATGTTTGGGCTGCCAATAATTTATCAAGAATGAATGAAGCAACCCAAACTCTTTTAATTACTCTTCATTTCATTGATGTATCTTTGACCTTTAAGCATACATAAATGTATCTCAGGGTGCCCTGAAACAATCTCCTAGTTTTCTAGAAACTTTCTGATCAGAAAAGTGCAAAGATCAGAGGAAGCAACTGGGGCCCCAAAGCAAGGTGGTTTCCTCTTGTGCACCCAAATGATCATGGACAACTTTAACAGAAGATGGAGTCAGTTTGGGCACTAACCGGCTTTTCAGTGTATATCTAGAAGTTAATTATTAGTCTTTTTTGTTATTGGATTTTTTTTTTCTAATGTGAAGACACAAATGATACCAAGATATTTGCTAGCTGATCAATTCTGGGTACTAGAAGAAACAGATAAGACAGAGAAGGAAGAGGGAAGAATAGGATAAGAAAATGTTTAAAATTCTTAAAAAACACTTCAGTTAAGAAAAATGTTTACCTGATACTACTTAAAACTTGGTAATTTGTATAATGAGAAAATACAAATATGAAAAAATGTATCAAGATTTTCTAAATACTCGAAACCCCCAAAGAAGTCTCTGCATGTAAGATTTAGTATGATAAGTGTCTTTTTTTGTCCATAGTGTATCTTTCGATCTAGACAGGAAACTTCTGGTAATTTCAGCCATACTGTGTACATGCTTGCTAAGTTGCTTCGGTCGTGTCCAACTCTGTGTGACCCCATGGCCTGTGGCCCACCAGGCTCCTCTGTCCATGGAATTCTCCAGGCAAGAATCCTGGAGTGGGTTGCCGTGCCCTTCTCCAGGGAATCTTTCTGACCCAGGGATCAAACCTGCATCCCTTGCATCTCCTGCTTCGGCAGGAGGGTTCTTTACCACTAGCACCCCCTGGGAAACCTATACAAGCATACTGTACTCAACAGCAAATTTTGAAAGAACCAAACTTTTTTAAAATGATGATTTTAAAGAAGGTAAAAAATTCTCTGAGTAGCTGAAAGAAATTTTACAAGGCTCATATCCTTTATATCGTGGATGAGGCCTTCACACTCTCACTCAGAGACAATTTACTTTTATAAAGAGCTCTTACAAGCTAGTGTCTTTGTGACTGTGTAAGGTCAAAAAGCTTATTAGATCCTTTCTTTTGTAACCTCACTACTTAACACAAAACCTAGTACATAGCGTGGGCTCGATAAATATTTGTCAACTAATGAGACAAATAGAAGCAGGATTTAGTAGGTGGTGTTGGAGACAGGTCCATGTGCCTGGGAGGAGTGACTGTCTGAAATCCATAGGAGTGAGAAAATCACCACGACCATACACCATGGTTACCGCTTTAAAAACACGCGGTCCCATGGAGCCTATGACTTCCTGAGAGATTAGAGCACAGCTACAAAAACAACTGCCATGAACAACAATGACCCCGAGTCATTAGGAAAATATTCAATTTTATTTAATTCTCAGTTACTACAAGTCAGGGAGCTATACAACGCACTTTTCAAATATTTTCATGAGGATTAAAATTGTGCCTCAATGGGAACTCTCTGTCTTCCTTCATGTTTGGGTTTCCTTTGCAAAACATAGTCTTGATGGCATAATATCACGTATCTTTAAAAAACATATACCTTGGTTCTATTGCAGGATGTCTAATTCTATAGTATCTTTGGTAGATACAGAAAGGACACGTTTTCTTTGTCTTTTTGATTTATTAAGCCTCCCAGTAAAGAACTTTAATATATTCCACATGTCTGATCTTCCTGTCTCAGTTATGAAGCAGTAGAGGATTGGGTCAGCAACACAATTTAAACTTGTTAATGCAACTGTGATTCTATAGATCTTATAACTCTGCTTCCCAGACTTGGAACGGTCAAACACTTGTTCTTTTAAGTTCATGTTGTGCTCCAAAATGCTGCGAATCAGCAACATCACATGAAAGGGGGTAAAACACAAGATAAAAGTCAACGTGATACTGATCAGTAGTTTTATGATTCTCTTCTTTTCCCTGTTTTCCGTGGCTTGATTTTGCCGCACAGCTTGGTAAACTTTCTTGTTGCAAGTCATTATAATGACCAAAGGTATCATATAACCTATACACGTCCTAGCAAAGTTAAACCTGATTTGCCAGTTCTCCAAAGGATATTTGTCATAGCATAAAGTAAAGTTAGACTTCTTGGCATCACAATATTCGACAGCTGTTTCATCTTCCCACAGAATAACCGCGTTGAGGATGGTTTCCAAAATCCAGATGGCAAGGCTGACCATGAGCGCACATCTTCTCGACCTTAGGAAGAAGAACCGCAGAGGGTAGACCACTGCCAGGTAGCGGTCGATCGCAATGCAGGTGAGGAAAGCCGTGCTGCTATAGAAGTTGAGGTACATGAGAAAAGCGCTCCCTTTGCAGAGGGCGGGGGAGAGCGTCCAGTTGTCTCTATTCCAGGTGTAATTGATCCACAGAGGGAGCGTTGAGGCATAGAGCAGGTCCGAGAGGGATAAGCTGAAGAGGTAAATGCCTAGTTCATTTTCTTGCTTCGCCTGCAGAAAAGACACACACAGAGAACCAATGTTGGCTGGAATGCTGACGATCACCACGAAGACGTAAACCGCTGGGAACAAGTAGTGATCCAAGTCATGCTGCTCGTCGATGCACGTGCTGTTCATTGCTTCCTCTTAAGGGGCCAATCACATTTGTTCTGACAGTAAACAGCAAACTGAGTCTTGCCTCTTGGTGATTTGCTTTCAACACCTAATTCTCTTTTGCTAAGACTGTGTCAGTTTTCCTTTGCTTTCAAACGTCCTGATTGGTTCATCGATGGTCTTAAAGATGAATGGAGATCAATTTTCACACAGGTATCGATGGGTGGAAGTCAGGGTTCAGGCTCCTGGCAGTCACGAAAGGAAACAGTTGATTTTAAGGTGCAGAAGTCCACACACTTATTGTCACAGAAGGCTGATGAAGCGCTCTGGAGGATGAACTAGGTTATCCATCAGTTTTCACAGAGTGCTGTCTTTAGTTTAGTGTTCTTCACAAAACTCAGAGGAGATTGGTGCAAACATGAATATACAAGGTTTCATTTTCATAGAGGTTGGCATCTCTTTTTAAAATGCTTTTGTTTCTGTAATGAAAAACAAACTAGAATAGTTTGGATGTTTAAAAGAGACATCATAATTTTTGAAAGAATCTTATTTCATTTATTGAGGATATAAAAATGCATTAAATTTCATACAGTGAAGGTGTTTAAAAGGGAAAATAGTTTAGCACACTTCAGTAAATGAAATCAAGCTGAGATATTTGACTTATTTCAAATCATAATTATTCAAAGGATGCTGCTGCTGCTGCTGCTAAGTCGCTTCAGTCGTGTCCGACTCTTAGCAACCCCATGGACTGCAGCCCACCAGGCTCCGCCATCCATGGGATTTTCCAGGCAAGAGTACTGGAGTGGGGTGCCATTGCCTTCTCTGCAAAGGATGCTGGGTAGGAGGAATTATACTTCCTACTGGACATAATCTAAGAATGCAAAATTAAAGTCAAAAGTCATTTTAGAAGCTAATTTTGTAAAAAGATGGCATATTCAGTTATTTATTTGTAATCAGTAAATGCTTTTGAGTGTATGGTAAACTGTCTGATTACAGCATTTCAAGTTTTTAATTTCTTATGCAATCTCTGTATAAGGCGCTTATTTTCAAAATAAGCTTATGAGCCAAGAAAAAATTGTCATAAGAGGTTTGATAAAGTGAAGCATTTGAAAATACAGCAGCTTGTCGAGGCCTCATAAATAATTAAGCAACACTACCTCATTTGTTTTTCCTTTCCTTTCTTTGCGGAGCAATTTACTTTATCATTCTCATACTCTTGTGAAAGACAGGGCAAAATGTTCTCGATTCTGGGTAATATCTTGTGATCTTCAGTTTCTACCATTTACATCTGATTGCTTACAAGTCTAGTTTTCTAGAAAGGTCTGATGTTGTAGATTCAACATCTACAGAAAGAAAAGAAAAGAAAAAAGAAGGAAGCCGTCCTCCTCGCCACACTAGAACAGAGTAATAGTGAGGTCTGCTGGTGCTTCACTGATTTATCTGAGGGGGATATTCACAGGAAGCTCTGTGGAGTCACCATGCTGGGGAAGGAGGTCATGCCCTCTTCCTGAGTAAGCCAGAGAGTAAGCCAGGTCCAGAGCCCGGAGTGTAAATCACACAGCATGAAACGGAGAACTACAATTCCTGAAATCACCTAGCGTTTCCACACCTAAAAGTGTGAATCAACAGCCTTTCAGATCAGTAGGGAATCCCGCCAGAGAGGGGGGAGCAAGAGCTAAGATCCGAGAGGTAAGTGAGCTGGGTACCCTGAGGCGGATGGGAATCTGGAGGAACTACTTTTGACGGCGCAGAACCAGGGACAGAGCGCGGGCCCGCGCAGGTAGCAAGTGGCACTCCATCCTCCAACACATGCTGGGGCCCAGGAGCCTCCACCCTCAAAATAAAGAAGCTAAAAAAACACTTCACAGGTATTTACAGACCGCAGGGTAAGTTGGCAAGTTCCCTGTCTTAGCGTTGCTTCTTTGAGGAATTCTCAGAAAAAACCCCACATCTATCCGTAGCCTCTGGTTGGTCCTCACTTGGGAACTGGGTCTGAGACTACACTATTAGTTTCGTTCTGAAAACTTAAGGTCAATAGTGATTCAATGCTGGATCTATGTGCTCAGCTTCATTAGTCATCAGGGAACTACAGACTAAAACCACAGTGAGATACAACTACATATTCACCAGAATAAATGAAATGAAAAAGGTTGCAAATATTAATACCAAGTCTTGTTGATGTAGAGCATCTGGAACCCTCATATATTGTTGGGTGGGAAACTGTTTGGCTCTTATGCAAATCTTATGGTTCAGCAACTCTACTTCTAGGTATGTGCTCAACAGAAAGTCATAACATTCCCAAGACGCATGTGGTAGAATTAGAGTGTTCACAATAGCATCATTCGTAATATCCCCCAACTGGAATGCCCAGTAGCAATAGAAAAGATGCTTTTGAACCATGGTGCTGGAGAAGGCTTTTGAGAGTCCCTTGGACAGCAAGGGGATCAAACCAGTCCATCATAAAGGAAATCTGTTCTGAATATTCATTGGAAGGACTGATGCTGAAGCCGAAGCTCCAATACTTTAGCTACCTGAAGTGAAGAGCTGACTCATTGGAAAAGACCCTGATGCTGGGAAAGATTGACGGCAGGAGGAGAAAGGGAGACAGAGGATAAGATGGTTCAATATCATTGACTCAATGGACACCAGTTTGTGCAAGCTCCGGGAGTTGGTGATGGACAGGGAAGCCTGGAATGCTGCAGTCCATGGAGTAGCAAAGAGTCAGACATGACTGGGTAAGTGAAGAACAACAAAAAAAATCTATACATCAATAAAAGGAACAAATTATTGTTACATGCAACAGTGCAGTTGAAGCTCAGAAACAACGCAGAGGGCTAGAAAAAGGCAGGCACAAAGGGTCCATATTGTCTGATTAAGAACCAGGTAGTGTTAATCTGTGCTTTCAGAAATGAGGATAGCTCTCCATTTATTGAGGGCTTTCTGCAGGCTGGACTCCATGTTAATGGCATGTATATTTGTTATAATCCATGTTGCACAACTCTGAGGTTTATTACAATTTTATATTACAAAGAAGAATTGAGCAACGTATTAGGCAATTAGCCCCCAGTTACCTGTCTGATCTTGGTAGAACTTGGCTGCAATCCTAGATTGTAATTCTAAAGTCTCTTGAGTCTTACCTACTTTGTCTTCTACCTTTATATATATATAAATACTTTAGAAATCTGAAATATTTTTAGGGTTTGGGTCTCCCAGCTATAACAGCTCTTCTAATTAAAGAAAATGACATCAATAATAATTTCTGCAAACTAGATATAAAATAACTAAACTTTCTAAAAGGCATTACTTTTATATTCTCTATTAAACTGTGTGGATTTCAGATAAACATGTGAGGATCATCATCTCACATCATGTCTCACTCTCAGTGACAGCATGTCTTTATGTTTCCTTATATTTGTCAACATGTTTTCTTCAGAAGGTTAAAAGTGTTCCTTTTCAGTAAGTTACGAGGCAACACATTTTAATTGGGCTCCCCACCCCCCCATATGGTTTTAGGAATAGATGGCTAAAAAGGAGCAAATATCCTGCTACCACTTTGAGTTAGGAAGCTGAATTTTGAAGGGTCTATTGTTTAGATCAGGAACCATCTGTGAATTGTTTTAAAGTTGAAATGAATTATGTTTCACCACTCATAATGTGGTGATAAAGAAAATGTAAGTAAGACCCATTGGAAGTGGGAAGGAACCTCGTGCAGTCCCTTTCTTCTCAACAAAGCCCATCTGCCTTGTTGCAAGCAACCATGTGGAATGTCATGTTAAATGCTCAGCTTTTGTAAAAACCTGATGAAGAGGAGTCAGGAGGCAGCGGCCTTTGGGGAGGGGCTGGGTCATGACAGGAAGAGGGCACCAGGAGGATTTCTGAGAACCGAGCGGCGTTCCCTTTCTTGATATGAGTGTTGCTATGAACAACCTTGGGCTATAGCCACGGGGTCACAAGGAGTCAGACACGACTGAGCGACTCAGCACAGCACCGCAGCACATGAACAAGCTTGTAACAAGCTTGAACAGGTTTGTAAAAATGAACAAGTTTGTAAAAATGCAGCAGGCTGTGAGCTTTGGATACGTGCATTTTTTTTCACATACAGGTTATGTTGTGATTAAGGTTAAAAAGTGGAATCAAAAGGCTGTGTGCGATGAGATGTAAAGAATCTTGGCACTATCACCTGGATTACCCGCGGGTGGAGTGTAAATGCCTTCCTAAGAAATGCTATGATTCTAGTCCTTTCCTCACATATGAAAGGCAATTTATAGAAGCACAACAGAACAGTAACTTAAGTAACTTGAAAATGAATTCACCTAAAACAAAGGCTTACCAGATGGAAAAGGGAGTCTACTAGGGTCCTGGAAGAAGCAAATAGAAATTATACCTTGAGGAGAGCTCCCTTGACCCAGGCTTTAAAGAATTCTCACAGATAGGGCTCTAACAAATATGAACTGATTACAATGCCCTCCATCCATACACATACAAAGAGACTCGATTTTAAAAATAGATAAAAAGAGCAAACATCCTGCTACCACACGGAGAGAAAACAGGCACAGGCAGAAATTAGCTACTATGTGTGAGATTCAGTAAACAAATAGGAAAGAAGAGCCCTGGATCTACAAGAGCCTTAGAGATGAAATTAACAGATATACAACACAAAACAAGTATGCCCAATATGCTAAAGAAATAAAAGAAGGAATCTGATCATATGAATAAGGACCCAGAGACAATGAAAGATAAGTGAGCACATGAAAGATTGAAAGAGTCTTTTCAGAAATAAAAACTGCAATAATTTAAAACTCAACACAGGGAATAACCAACTGACCAACTCCAGTTGAAGAGAAAATTAGTATGTTGCAAGGTAGAGCTAAAGAAGTAACACAGAATTATCCGAGTGTTGAAGAGATGTGAAAATGCCATAGCACAGAGATAGGGAGAATCCGGTGAAAAGGTCAGAAATAAAAGAAGGAATCTGATCATATGAATAAGGATCCAGAGACAATGAAAGATAAGTAAGCATATGA